GGTTGTGTTGTTGTACAGGATTCTTTTGGATATCCTGGGTTTTTTGTTTTTCCATATGAAGTTGAGTATTATTCTTTCCAGGTCTGTGAAGAATTGTGTTGGTATTTTGATGGGGATTGCATTGAATCTGTAGATTGCTTTTGGTAAGATTGCCATTTTTACTATGTTAGTCCTGCCTATCCATGAGCATGGGAGATCTTTCCATTTTCTGAGATCTTCTTCAATTTCTTTTTTCAGGGACTTAAAGTTCTTGTCATATAGGTCCTTCACTTGCTTGGTTAGTATTACCCCAAAATATTTTATGTCATTTGTGGCTATTGTAAAGGGTGATGTATCTCTGATTTCCTTCTCAGCTTCTTTGTCCATTGTATATAGGAGGGCTACTGATTTTTTTGATTTGATCTTGTATCCTGCTATGTTGCTGAAGGTGTTTATAAGCTGTATCAGTTCCTTGGTGGACTATTTGGGGTCACAAAGTAGTTAAATCTTTTAAGGTTAAAAAAAAAAAAAAAAAAAAAAAGGAGCGTACTGGGCCCTGGGTCCCTGGGGGAAAAAACTCAGCTATAAGAATCCCTGAGAGCTATGACTATGTAAAGGTAGCTAATGGCAAGAGAATAAGGTGGTATTTGAAATTGTTTCTAGAAAAAGATGGTTCAACACAAGTATTATATGAAAGAGACAGAAAAGTCACTCAAGGACAATAAGGACAAGGAGTTTTCTTCTCTAACCTACAGCTGAGTTATGTAACAGATACCCAAGTTTCTCAGTAAAGTCTGTGAGCAATGAACAGGGTCTTCAATCCCATTAGAAAGAAGGGCTCTATATAGCAAGCATTCAATTGGAACAGAAAGGCTGCAGGGAGACTACCTCACTGGTGACATTAACTTCAACACTCACGTATCAGCTGGCTGATGCCATTACAAAGATGGCAATATTAGAATTGTTTTATGAAGGTGGTTCTGTGCCTGTGTGTATGTGTATGATCATGCACATATCTGTGTTTATATGCATATATGAATGAGGATTATGAAGAAAATTTTAAAAAATGTATTAATTTTATGTGATTGTCTGCACTTATATAAGTGTATTGTGTGCATGCCTGATGCCTGCAGAGGCCAGAAGGCACTTGATCCCCTGGAACTGGAGTTACAGATGATTGTGAGTTAAAATGCATGTGCTGGAAACCAAACCTGGTCCTCTGAAAGAGCAGCTAGTTCTCTTAACCCCTTAACCATCTCCCCAGCCCTGAGGGGGGAAAATGAGGTATGATCTCACTGTGTAGTCCTGGCTGTTCTGGAACCTACTATGTAGTCTAGTCTCAAACTCATAGAGATCCATCTACCTTTGCTTCCCTGGTGCTGGGCTTAAAGACGATTTCTTCTATGTCTGGACTATGGAGAAATATAAAGTAATATAAATTAATATGCACACTCAATTTTAACTATGAAAAATAGAATTTTCTTTTTATCTTCTAAAGAAATTAATCTCTCTCTCTCTCTCTCTCTCTCTCTCTCTCTCTCTCTCTCTCTCTCTCTCTCTGTGTGTGTGTGTGTGTGTGTGTGTGTGTGTGTTTGTGTAATGCATGTCTAGGCTCCTCACCAAGTTTCCAGTGGACAGAGAAGGAATAGGAGAGAGCAGAGTCAGCTACTGGATCCCAGGGTCTTCCAAAGTCTAGTGCCAGGATGTCTCCACCAATGCTGGAATCTGTGCCTCTTCCATGACCCTGGCAAAGGGAGATTAGGGACAGGAGGAGCACCCCAAGGCATCCTCAACATCCAGCTCTGAATGTGCCACAGTCCAGTGGCCTGCCTGTATTTGGACTAATGCTTGGTCTCTGCTGGGAATTTCATCTTTGTATTTCTTCCCCAGGTGGTATAGAAGAATTTTCCCAGCTTATGCCCTTACACTGGGGCTGCAGTTTGAGTGTGTATGTGTGTCTGTTTGTATACAGAGAAAATAGATTTGTAGATATGTTAGAAGAAATGATGTGTGTGTATGTTAGTTTTAACCTCTCTGTGAAGAGTGATAAAGATTGAAGCTTTTCCTAGCCCCATTCTTTACCTTCACTTTTACCTAAAATATTCTTAAAGGAGAATCAGTTGAAAACACACCATTTAATTTTTGTAAGCCTGACTTTAAACCACTCATCTCCTCCTCTGGAAAGCTTTAACAGAACTCTATTGTGTTTGGTCAAATGATCTGAAATCTCCACATGCCTTTAAGCCATTGCTCTTAGAACAGGTAATTGGAACCTCTTGATGTTTTGTTCAGCTTATTATACTTTATAATCTACCTTTAGGAACCACATTCTAGCAGAATACCAAGGAAAGCATACATACATACATACATACATATTTTTTTCTGAATTCTAAACTAAAGTATCAAACAATCCATTTGATAACAAAATAGTAAAGTGTTTTTATCCTGTTTCTTACACACACACACACACACACACACACACACACACACACACACACACACACCTAGAGCTAAAAAGTGTTAACATGTCTGGTGCCCTAAAGCCAGTGAATGAAAGTGATCTCAAATATAAATTTTTCAGGTTCCCAAAACAGTCACTTCTTACGTTCACTGCCAGCATATTTTTTGCACTGCTGTCTACCACACAAAGCATCTTTCCAGTTGTGTTTACCATCTGTTCTTAGTGAGATGCGTTTCAGCTGAGCTTCTTAGCAACCTCAGCCTTTACATAGTACTATTGCTTAAAGGGGATGTGAAATACTGAGCTGATAAAGTTTCGAATCAACTCTTTGGGATGGTTCTTTTTATCACAAAGAAGTTTTCAAACATGTGGCATGGATAGGTGGACAGGAACGTTTGAGTGGAGGGGAGTCGTGAAACCTTCCTTCCTTCCTTCCTTCTGTCTACAATCCAGTTACTAATCCAAAAAGCTTGATTGTAACAGGGTTTCTCCATCTTGTCTCAGCTGGAGCCATCATTGCTTTATACCCCCCTCCCCTGCAAAGTACCCTGGGAAAGCACCCATACCCTGCTCTAGAAACTCAGGGTGGAAATGCCCCAGCTAGCTGCATGTTCTTGGCTCTTGTTAAACTGCAGGCTTGTTTCCCTCTGCAGCTGACAACCCGGATGTAGTTTTTCTGGGCTCTTTGTCTTTAGCAACTTCCTGCGATATACTTTGGGGCTGCTCTGTGAGAAGCGTTTCTCTCCAAGCAGCCGAGGGCCAGGTTAATACATACTCTCAATTAGAACTCTGGTCATGTTGAGTGGCTTCTGGACTTTTGCCCTGTAACATGATGAAACAAAGTAACTTTTGTTAAGCTGACTGGTTTGGCAAGTGAGGGCTGTGGTGATAGTAGGAACCCCTCTCTCCACATCTCAGGTTTAGGTGAAAGGGCAGAGAGAATCAAAAGCTATCACTTTCAGGCAGGAGTTGGGATTGGAGGGAGTTCCCTTCACAAGTTACTCAGCTGCTGCCACCTGACTGGGGCCCTAGCCAAGAACTTGCAGGGTTTTTTGATATATAACTGGATCCAAGAGCAATCTCCAGAAGGGCAGAAGTATGTGACAGCTTTTAATTTAGTCTCAGAAGCTCTCTACTCTGTGAATAGAGGCAGTGACTGTTGTCTCCAAGGCTCAAAGGAGGGACACAGTCCCAGTCTAGACAAGAGTATCTCATAAGGAAGAACCATTACAGCATTTGCAACATGTGATCTACCACAGTGAGTCAGGTTCTACAATATTGTGATGCTATTCTTGCTTATTGACTTGATTACATCTGGAATTAACTAAAACTCAAGGTGCTACATATACCTGTGAAAGATATTTTTTGATTGGATCATTTGAAGTGGGAAGACCCGCCTTCAATCTGGTCACACCTTCTGCTGGCAGCCTGTATAAGGACATGGAAGAGGGAAGTTCTTGTGCTTTGCCTGCTTGCCCTCTCTCTAGCAGGCAAGCCTGTTCCTTCAAAGATATTGGAGTATTCTTCTTTGGGATTCTGGTGTATATGGAAGAATACCTAAGACATCTAACCTCATGGACTGAAAAGCTATTAATTCTTGAGCTTTCTGTCAGGAGACAGTCTTTGTTGGAATAATTGGACCATAACCTGTAAGTCACTCTAATAAATCCTATATATACATTCTATCAGTTCTGTTTCTTTAGAAAACCTTGATTAATGCAAATATATGCATTTATTTTATAAGCCATTGTTTTCTAATGTAAGAAGAAGCATAAAAAAATCAATGATCTGGAATGATTTGGCACTTACATAATTCATAGCATGGCACAAACTCTCCCTGGAGGCCTCTGAATGTTTAAGGTACATAACATTCTGCATGCTTGGGTTGTGACTCCTTCTATGCTTCTGTGCTCTAAAATGTACGATAAAAGACAGCCAGTATTTTACCCCATCAGGCAATTGTTAGGTTTACGGATAGTAGCAAAGTCTGTTTCAGGTGTAGCTGGAAAACTCAGCGTATGTTGCTAAGTTGCCAGTCACAAAAGTATAGCAATACCTGAAAACATAACCAAAGCTACTCAAAGCAAAGATAAGGTCCCTCCTCCCAGAAAAACCCAACAAGATATTATGTGTATTATGGTGGGGAGACAGGAATAATTGCTTAAGTTCTTAATTAAATTTGAATTAATATTTCAATGACATAATCTGAAGAGATGTTTTACAAGTCAGATGAATTTGATTTAAATTAGTTTGCCAGAATGCTTAGTTTTTGGAATTTGCATGTTTTCATATTTTTAAAATGGAGTTTTGTTCGAAAGGCAGTGCTTAACATTGATTCTGGGATCTTGATAGCATTATGATGAAAACAGGCTAAATTGCCTAAGTTATTCCACAGGTCTAAAAATCAAAGATTGTTGGGTTTTTTTGTTCTTTTCCATTAATCATCTACCACATTATGATGGGCAGAAAGTTAGTGACACGGTTTTGAGAAACAGTTAACCCAGTTCTTGAGACTTGAGGCTTCACTGAAGTGAAGAACAAATGACCTACCAGCAGAGGATTATGATTTTAGCAGGTACAATTTTGGTTTTATTGCAAGGCACACAATCATATAGACAATGTATAATTACTATCTAACAGTATAAGATATAAATAATATCTGTATGGTAAAGAACACACTTTTCTTTCAGAGAGGAAATTTGTCATAGCCTGAGCCAATTTGTACCCTTGTGGGACTTTCATATACATACCAAGCCTTCAAAACAACTCTTACTTGAAAAATAAATCTTGAAGAATGGACACACAACGTTGTCATAGGTTTTCTTTTAAATTCTTTCATTTAAAACCTGCCAATGTATTCTCTCATTTTCTTTATCTTATGTTCCAGTATGAAATGGAATATCTATAAATTGCTGGGTACAAGTTTAACACCTATTTAACATATCAATCACAAAATTAAACCCTTTTCCAAAAAAATTCTTGATTTCTCTCTATGCAATTTTTGTTTTTCAAAAGTTGCCATTAGAGTAGGAAGATATAATCCAGGTAGAGTTGATCTTGAGGTCACAAACATAGCAAGCAACACCTTCTTTGTGTGATGGAAGAACCTTCTGGAAACCTCGGAGAGGGAGAGCCACTTGGGGGCCATGGGTTTAGACAAAAGCACTGTTTGAAACAATCGAGCATGGAAGGATGACACTGCTCCTTAGCATCGTGACACTGCTCCTTAGCATCTTTCTCATACATGATTATATATATATATACATATATATATGTGCACATGTCTGTATTCAAACAATAAAACACACATATGTAATTGATACTTTTTTTCCTGTGTGAGTCTCTTTATCATTCCTTAAGCTAGTGCCCCAAAGTGGCTGTCATCTGTTTTCCACTTTCAGTTTAAGAGGGAAGCTCAGAATTCAACTCAAGGGCAGTTAAGCTATTTACCTCCCCTCCATGGGATCAAGAAATGCAGAAAGCAGAGATATTAGGAGAGCATATAGAGTGTTAATTTAAAGAGGTCACTATTATAATTCCATTGCAAGATGTACCAACATCTCCCCCATCTTTGTGCACTGTAGAAGCATTTCTATTGCCTACTTCAGTGGTTTTTGTTCCTGGAACTGCTTTGTTCACATACGTGTCCCTTTAGTATACTAGCCAAGGTTTTTAACTATTGAGCTAATGTCACCCAATATTTAAGTCATTCTTATTATATATATTCAGTTATAAGAATTCAAGGGTGGTGACTCTTTCTTTAAGTAAGCTGTGGCCTGGGCTGGCAAGATAACAAGTAAAGGAATATGACACCTGACAATGTAAGCCTGATGTTGTGTATTCCATCCCCAGAACCCATGTAAAGTAAAAAGGAGAGAACTAATTATGCAAAGTTGTCATCTGACCTCTACATGCATGCCATAATGCACACACTCACAATAATAATAATAATAATAATAATAATAATAATAATAATAATATAGTTTTCAAAGAATTTTGTGTCCACTCTAGGGTATACACCTCCCCCCCTTTTACATGTCTCTCTTCCCCTGTTAACCTCCACGCTTAAATCTACATTAACACATTTTCTTAATAAATTCCATCTTTGTGTTATTACAAAAGAATTTCAGAATATCTAACTATTCTGTGAAATTTAAGAAGTATTCCAAAGAATACTTCATTTCCATTAGGAAATGTGTCTGCAATGTCACTAGTCACCATTGAATCCAGTAGCATAAAAGTCCCAAATAGAGATAAACATAATGGCTGTGACTCTACAGAGTGTGTTATACCTTCACGCATGCCTCGGTCTCCAGAAAGAGAGGGAGCAGCAGCAGTGAAACAGCTAGTGGTGAGAAATCACAGATGGAACCCTGCCTATAGTATCCAGGTCCACACATTAGATGCTCTATTAGACTCCAAGGGGTGCTGCTCTAACCATGCACAAGCTTTGAAATAGAAGTCATTTCTAAATTATCCTTTCCTTCTTCTTTAAAGTCACATTACAAAAAAATCATCATTATCTCTGGCTACAAGTTTTAAAGAAGGGGGAATTTATATGTCATTTGGAAGAGTTAGCAAAAATATTCTAAATGGATTTCTCAGACAGTGACCTCCACAGGTACCCCCTTACCCAAGACAGTGCAAGCTGTGCTCAGCCACCTCAAGCTTCATTTCATTCTTCAGTATATATTTGGGAGCAAATCTACTTCCTGCAGAAAGCCAGAACATAACATCTGAAGATTCGCATGATCAAAACAACTTGCTCTACATAAGTAGAGAATTCAGCAATAGGTGTGTGTTTATAAACAGTTGCTACCACAAAGCAGATTTGACCAAAACTACCATCTTAGAATGAATTCAAAGTCTGGGAATTTATTAACACTAAGTTATGAGCAGTGTTAGAGTAAATGATGTTCAAGGAATCCAGAGGAAATCACACCATGACTGAGTCCCAGAGAACCTTACATGGCAGCAAAGTATCTCAGCAACAATTCTCCATGTCTCGAGGGGTATCACTGATGCACCCTTGAGAAATGTCCTGACTGCACAGGAGGTCTGTTCTTTATTTACACAGAGACTATTTACAGATGAAACTACACACACTTTGTTGGTATATAAGCTTCATACTTCTTAACACCAGTACATCTTTTCTCAGATTACCTGCCTGAATAGTATGCTAAAACTCAGAGATCTTAAGTAGCAAACTGTAGTTTTCAAGGCATTAACCACTTTGAGAAGAGAGCATTCACAACTTTAAACACATTCACAAATGTCAACATGATATTCTCTACCACTATGCACTTGTCCAGCATCTTGGGTCTAAGTTCTTACTAAGATGCATTCTTTTCACACATGAAACATGTCCACCTAGCAGGGTATGAGCATTGACATGGTCTCATTCTAACTGAGGTTGCTTCTGCCAGTGTTAGCAGGTAAGTTTGGTGTCCACTAAGCTTTGGATACAATGGTTTGGTTTTGCTTTGCTTTTTCTTTTCTTTTCTTCTCCAGAGCTTTGGAACTATGTTGCATAGGAAGGTCACACAGATGGAGGGGAACTAAACCAGGAGAACCAGAAGAAAGAGTATTATCTTTGTTTATGAATGGGTTGAAATTAGACTGGCTTCCCTGTCCTAGGAAAGAGGTGTATTGTTGCCAGGACCTCTGTGCTCTGTTCTTCAGACTTGCTCCCCCTACTCAGCTAGATCACTAATGTGCCCTGAACTTCAAGACTTTAGAGCATGACATGTCTTCATTATTGAATACCTCATCTTTCCATTTCAGACTGCAGTGGTAATCTGGGTTAAACCAAGATCATTGAACTCTTCTCTACCTAGAGAGCTGTAAGAAGACATCTCCACGACTAGTCATACTGGCTTATTCATCCCGTCCACTTCCCTTATGGAAGCAGGATCCTGAACTGTGTTTCTAACTCTGTTGGTGCTCTGTCGCTCCATTCGCATCTTAATAGGGAAGCAGAAGTCCCTAAAACACCTCTTGAAGTTTTCATCAAGGAAGGCATAAAGGACAGGATTCAGGCTGCTGTTGGTATAACCCAAGGCAATACAGAAGTAATAGCTGGAGAGGGCAGCTGTGCTGTGGGAGGTGCTGCCCAGAGCCTCTACCAGGATGAAGATGTGAATGGGGGTCCAACAGATGATGAAGACTGCCACTACTACCAGCACCAGCTTGGTGATCCTGCGGAGATTTCGGTCCTTTTCTCGGGAGCCAGAGAGGAGCCGCACACTCTTCAGGCGAAGGATCATTAGGGTGTAGCAGACAATGATGATGAGGACGGGGATCACGAAGGCAAAGATGAAAACACAGATCTTCATGAAGAGGTCCCACCAGGAATAGTCATCATCAGGAAACTGTAAGGAGCACTCAATGACATCCATATCTGCCAGAGGTACCAAAGTCAACAAAATCACAGAGAGAATCCTGTTATTGTCAGTACTATGACTGCAGAGTTATACATTATCCCAATACTTTTGATTTCAGAAGTCCAGGTACAGTGAGATCATACTGGAAGCACAACAGCAACTCATAAATTGATGGTTCATTATTGAGCATTCTATCAAAACATGTATCTACAGAGCTACTTGTTGTCAAACACAAAGTTCTGTACTGAATAAATACGCAAGCTGGCTAGCAGTGTGACTTGTCCATCTGTGAGGGTTGGCTTTGTATTGGTGGCTTTCAGAGGAGCCAAACTGTTCACTTTTAGTGTGCCATTTATTTTGTATTTTTGTGTATTAACAATTTCTCCACACCCATGACTCTGACAAAAGAGTAAACAACAACAACAAAAGAAAGTTAGCATCTATTTCTAGTAAATGACTAAACATTTTGAATCTCCCTACTGAATTTAGCAAACACCAACTTGTCTTAAAAATATTAACTAAATTGATGATGAAATACATCTAAATATGACTCAGGTGCTGTGATTTAATAGTACCACTCTGCTCACTGTGATTAACGTCATTGAAATGCGAATAAAAATTTTAAAGGTAAATGAAGACAAACCAAGAAAAAGCAATAAGCATCTATATTAATCTTTGCTTTAGTGTTTCTATTAAACGATTTAAAGTATCCTTTAAAAATCATCACCATTGTCTTAGAAAATGAAATGTTAAAAACTTCACTAGTTAGTATGTCATGAAACTCTGAGTTTAATACAAATGTTCTACAGTTGTCTATTAAATCTGACAAATATTTTAATTTTTAATTTTTATTTTATGTATATGAGTGTTTTGCCTGCATGAATGTATGTGCACCATTTGTGTGCCTGGTTCCCACAGTAGTGAGAAGGAGCTAAATTCCGTGGAACTGGAGTTACAAATGTTTATGAGCTACCATGTGGATGTTGTGGAACTGAATGTTGGTCCTCTGCAAGAATAACAAGTGCTCTAAAGTGCTGATCCATCTCTCCAGCTCATAAAAACTTTTCTTTCTTTTTTTTAAAGGTGATCTCGAGTTTTATTTATTTTTTAATTTTTTAAGTAATGATTTTTTTATCCCATCCCAGCAAGAGTTTCCCTTCCCTTCTATCCTCCCAGTCCCTCCCCCACCTTTCTCTCTGCACTCCCCCCATCCACTCTTCTGTTTCTATTAAGAAAAGGGCAGGCCTCCCATGGATATCAACCGAACATGGCATATCAAATTGCAGTACGACTAGGCACATGCCTGGTATTGAGGCTGGACACAGCAACCCAGTATGAAGAAAATGGTCCCAAAAACCAACAAAAGACTCAGAGACAGCTCCTGCTTTCACTGTTAGAAAGACTACCTACACAACTGTAACATATGAAGAGGGCCTAGGTCAGCCCCATACAGGCTCCAGCCACATAACCTTCAACCTACAATTTGCCTTGCCTACAAGATGTGCTGGGGTAAAAGAGGCACAGAAATTGTGGGAGTGGCCAACCAATGACTGGTCCAGCCTAATATCCATACCACTAGAGGGAACCTACCCCTGACACTGCCTGGAGGGTCAGGACCTGAGGCTGAATAGTGCAAACACCTAGGATAGAACCAAACCTAACTGGCAAAAAAAAAGAAAAAGAAAAAAGTCAATGTAATGATGTCTAACAATATTATGCTAGACATATAGATTGGTGACTAGCCCAATTGTCATCAGAGAGGCTTTATCAAGCAACTGATGGAAACAGATGCAAACCTACAGCCAAACACTGGGCAGAGCTCAAGGAATCCTGCAGAAGAGGGGGAAGAAGGATTGTAAAAGCCAAAGGGGGCAAGGACACCACAATAAAACCCACAGAATCAAGTAACCTGGACTCATAGAGGATCACAGATACTGAAATGGCAACCATAGACATGTTCTTAAAGATGAGAAGTGCGTTTTGGGGACGGGGAAGTTGCAAACCTTTGTAGGTCTCTACTTGCAGAAGTGTCAGTTGGAAAGTCACTTCAGAGACATTTATGTAGAGATTTCTTTCTTTGGTTCTCTCCCTGACAATGTGTGGTCCATATATGTATTCGACTCACATTATTTACTACATAGACAGATAATCTTCTTAAAGGAAATTGTGAGGTCATTTTTTTTTTCTCACTTTTCTCTTTAGAATGTAAACAACCCTAGAATAAGGATTAAATCTGCCTTATTCTCAAAATTCATCTTTGGCACAAGGGTCATGCCTACAGCACATGCTACAAAAATAATAAATCTTTAAAATAAGTGGTCATGCACATATCATATATGCACAAAACCCTTGTGCATATAATGTGCAACAGTCACTCATCAAACTTGGCAACATGACACCAAGGTGATGACATTTAACTGTGAAGGATTGCTTCGCTTCAACTATCTCACAGATAGTTACAGTTTAGTAAACATTTGATTGATAGTTATGATCAATGGCGCCAGGCATTGGTGGTGCACGCCTTTAATCCCAGCACTTAGGAGGCAGAGGCAGGCGGATCTCTGTGAGTTCGAGGCCAGCCTGGGCTACCAAGTGAGTTCCAGGAAAGGTGCAAAGCTACACAGAGAAACCCTGTCTCGAAAAACCAAAAAAAAAAAAAAAAAAAAAAAAGAAAGAAAAGAAAATGATCAATGGTAGCCACTTTTAAAAATCTGTATGAAATAAACACCAATTGTGGAGTAGAAATGGCCTCCAAAAGTGCCTGAGACACTGAACATGTATCATCAAAGAAGAGGAACTACAAAATGTCCCTAACCCATGATTTGTTTCAAATATCTGTTTCTGGAAAAAGAAAATGTGTTCAGATTGAATTATCTTTACAATTGCTTCAGCTCAAAAAGTAGTGTTTCTTCAAATACCATACAATTATTCTCACATATAGAATCTAAAGAAGTTGATCGTATTGAAGTTCAGGCTAGAATTGTGGCTTCAGACTTTCTTTTCCTTGCAGATAAGTACAGTAGGGTCACAGCTCACATTGGCACATAGTCCAATATCTATGACTTTCATATTAGAATTAGATCCAACAGTCAAACTAAAGATTTCTTTTTCAGTTTTCTTATTGTTTGTTTTTGTTTTCTATTTTAGTTTTTGAAATTAAACTAAATCATTTTCCCTTCCCTTTCTTCTCTCCTACCCTTCCCGTGTATACCCCTTGCTCTCTCTCAAATTCAGGGATTTTATTTCTTTAATTGTTGTTGCATATGTATGTGTATATATTACTAAATATATACATATAACCTTCTTATTGTATATAATGTTACTTGTCTATATGTTTTCAGGGATGATCATTTGGTTTTGTATAAGTAACTGAGTCCTATTTCCCAGGGAAAGCTATTTCTCTTACTTTCAGCATCCATTAGCTTCCTATAGTTTTTTTTTGTTTTGTTTTGTTTTGTTTTGTTTTTGTCTAGGGTTGCTTACTATAGTACTGGTGATAAGCAGATTATGATTTACCAAAATAAATAATTCACACATATGTAGAACATAAGATTCAATATTTAATACCCATACAGTAAAAACATTACTGTATACAAAGAGCCCTCACTATTGCATGGGTATCAGTAGATGTTGGTAAATATATCAACAAACCACATCGTCTCTGAGGACCATGCTGGTTGTTGATGACACTGACATGCTGAAGAACAGTACCAACCAGCCATGACCAGTTGGAAAGATGACCTAAAATACTCCTCTTAGTCATGAAACAGTCTTAACAGGAAGCATGGTGCAGCACTCCAAAATGAATGCAGTTCACAAAAATCATCTTTCATAATATAAACAAATTCTTTAATTGAAAAAAGTAAAAGGAAAGAACAATTATCATATAAACCACTTTAATATGCTCTCCTTTGCTGCACAAATTAATCTTCATTGACATTAATGCATCTTTTCTTCTACTACACCTGTGCATTCATTTCCATCAATATCTACCTGGAAAAAAACCACATCTCTCTCATTTCTTATTTCGAAAGCCTAACCGAAACTCATTTTTTTCTACGGTCTCACTTTCTGACACATGCTAGAAGTAATATAGTTGTTAAATTTGCAAGTGAAGCATGAACTACAAAACCAGGCCTTTATTTGCCCTGAGAAAGTCATCTATCACCTTTTGTTACTCAGCCCCTTATCATTTTAGTGAGTGCAGAGCATTGCTCCCAGATGGGCCTCGTGATGCACAGACACCTGAGACTCAGAAGAGTTCCTTGCCATTTATTTCCCCTTAATGTAGCCATGAAGAACAAATTCTTCTGTGTGATGAATCATCTTCACAATTGCTCATTTGATTACAAGTGTCAGGGTCCATCACCTGCTGTAGCTGTGCTGGGAACTTGAAACACAGTTCAGAAGAAAGTACCATGAGAACACAACACCAAGAGTGACCCCTAATGTAAGCTGTCAACTTTGGGTGATGGTATGCTAATTTAGGCCGGGCTGTGACAAATGTGCCACTCTAGTGGAGGTGTTGATGTGGTGAAGCTGTGCACGTGTGGTGGCAAGAGACAAATTGAAACTCTACTTTGCATTTTAATTTTACTGTGACCCTAAAAGTTCTCTGAAAGAATCTGTCTAGAATGTACAAAAATAGCCTATGCATCTACCTACCATGTAAGATAAGCAATGATTATAGCACCTGTTCTTTTACTATGTCCTGAAAAGGTCTTGCTACATATATTCAATTATCTGTACTCACAAGTACTACAAAGCTCTCTAATAAAAGGATGCATCTGGACACCTTCAAGACCATTAAGTAGCATTTATACAGTTCAAAGGCTGTTTACCTGCTTCCCTCTAGGGAGTATCTATTAAGATCAAACTTATTTCCCATGGCTTCATTTTTTACTAGAAAAGCAAAACTTTTGAGACAGTGGTTCTCATCTTGGCTGCAGGTCAGACTAACCTAGGTCACACTTCTGCAAGATTAAGCCAGGATCTCCTGGGACTTAGGCATTGATGTGTTCTAAAGTACCCAGACAACTTCATCCCTCATCCCAATTTAATAAATGCAGAGAAAGTCTCTTTACCCTGTTTGCATAGGGTAAGAATTGTAACCATCTGTGAACCTGATTGTGAGCTGACCAAAGCCAATAAAGAAAGGATATATGAGGAATAACCTTAAGGCAGAAAGGAGAAAAGATCCCATATATGCCTCTAATAATATAATTCCTTGTTGGGGAGAAAAAGAAGGAAATCTGTGTGATTGCTAGATTGCATTTTCAAAACCTTCTTGCCTTTGTTTTCTTACTTCATACACTTTCAAATTCCCTTTTCACCAAAAAATAAGAATAATGAGTATGATGCAGTCTAGTGGCAGTTAGAAGGCCTTATGTGCATAGACTTTTCTCCTTATGACCTATGGAAATACTGTCAGGGTTATTCACACTCACTGATGTTGGTTTACCACATCATTAGTTAAAATATAAATGTCTAGGCTACAGGTTTCCAAAGTGTGTTTTGTAGAATGGTACTCTCAACCTCAGTGTCTCAAAAGCTTCTGTGGAAAATAAGGGAAGATGAGAAACAAAATAAGAAGCCAGTGTATATAGTCTTCTCTCCATGGATTTACAGTCACTCTAAATTCAGCAAGCACTTTAAAGATCTGAGATCTCTGGGTGTCTATTCTCTAGCACTGTCATCACCCCATTCCATGTTTAGAAGTAGAAAGAACACAACATTTTTTTTGTTTCTAATCTTCCATGGATCACCCCATTCCATGTTTAGAAGTAGAAAGAACACAACATTTTTTGTTTCTAATTTTCCACGGATTTAGGAATTATAATATACATTGCTTTCATTTGTTTGTTTCCCAATAGATACGTGTTCCAGTCATTCCCAAGGTAAAAATGTTTATCTAATGAAAAAATTCAATTTTTATAAATGGGATGAAAACAATGGATCTTACCTTCTCTAACTTTGGTGCCTCCAAGTACTATTGCTGATATGCCAACAGATGATGACAAGAGCCAAATGCAAATATTGATGACCTTTGCTTTCAAAGGTGTGCGGAAATCCAAAGCTTTCACAGGGTGACACACAGCGATGTAGCGGTCCACACTCATCATGGTCAAGGTGAATATGCTGGTAAACATGTTGTAGTAGTCTATGGAAATGACAATTTTGCACAGAACATCTCCAAAAGGCCAGGAATTCATCAAGTAAACAGCACTCTGGAAGGGCATGGTGGTAGTAACCAAGGCATCTGCCAAAGCCAGGTTAAATATGTAGATGTTGGTTGCTGTCTTCATCTTCGTGTATCTAAATGATAAGAAACAATAGCAGTTACTTCCAGCTCTGTAACTTAAACCCAGAGTGTGAATGTGAGTGACAACCACTGAACTATTAATTTTGCTGTGCACTTACATATTCCTTTTGCATTCATTACATGTGCAGATTGTAAAAGGAACTCAAACTTTTTAAGGTTTTATCTTACTGCTTTGTTCAAACCATGATAAAGAGAATGAAGAAAATATAGGTCAATAAATAGATGAATACACAGACATACTGGAATACATAGAGGTCTTCATGTCATAGGTGATGATTTATTTTAATCCTCCACAGAGGTCTTACCTCAAGTATTTTTGAAATATTTTTCTTCTGTTTGTATAATACAAAACCTTTTCCCTTCATGGTTATTTTGAGAAATCAATAATTATAATTATTTAACCTTTTGAAAGTACAAAATGGTGTTCAATTTTAAAATATATCCAGCAACAGTGGCCAAAGCACAAAATCATTGATTTCTGCTTGCCTATGCCACCAACTTGTCATTTTAAGTGTATTACATAAATAGAATAGACCAACATGAATTATATTTGATACAGCAACATCACAGTAAATAAAAATAAGTTTGGTCTTTCTCTCTCCCAGTCTTGGACAATTATATAAAGTGTGCAGTTGTCTCTAACTGTCTCACCTTTCAGTCAAGGGGACATTAATGTTCAAATTGGGTCAGCAAGATTGCCTGGAAGCTGAAATAATTCTCCACACTACAACATGAAGTTCCGAGCAACACTGCTTTCACTCAAATCTGAATCAACAATCAAAGAATTGTTCTTTGAAGGAATGCTTCCTCCAGAATCCATTGAGCAGTTAATACCCATAGCATTTCACCTCTCTGAAGCCAAGAGGGGAAAACAGTCTGTTAATTCCTTTCTGTGTACTTCAGAATTGTAAACCTTATCACAATGAATGCATCCCTGTCCTCCTAGACACATACATTGTCTCATGAAAAGCATGTAGTTGTCAGTAATATCAGAGTGATGGAATGGTGTTGCCCAAGATGAAGTCACAGTCCTGAGTCTAAACTTCCAGAGTCAGTTTCTGACACATAAGGATGGTAAGCTGGGAGCCCAGGAGAGAGGCCACTATAGAGTCTTGCTCAACACATCTGGCAGGTGGGGATGCATTCCACCCTCAGTATCCACTGCCTTTGATCTTTCTCTTCTCTTCTTGTGAGAAGTAAGATATGTTATTGGCTGGGTGAGAGACCATTGCAAGGATTAGTACTAAAGTTAGCAAGTTCTGGTTTTCTTCATGGCCCATTTCTAAAAGAGTGATTTAATCTGGGAAGTGGGGAAACACATTCTCCACCTTTGGACATTTAACTCGAATATTGCTAAGTGACTTATATGTTTTAGAAAATGTTTAAGGCTTTATAACCAAATACTCATAATATCTTTATAAAAGCACAGATAACCAAGCACGTACAGTTTTAGAAGTAATGTTTCTAATGAGAAAATATAGAATGCAATACATTTGAATACTGCCTGCTTTAAAATGTGATTTTTATGTTGGAAAAATACAAGTTATAGACATACTTCCTACTCCTTTAAGTTCCTCTAACAAAATCACCAATATTAATAGAAGTTCCAGCTGGTGGTAGCTTTGGTATCTACTCTTGTGTTTGGAGTCTCTGAGGTTCCTGTGTCTTCATGAACTTATACTGGCATTCTTTGCTTTATAAAATTAGATATGCCTGGGTCCTGGTCTTCCATTTTTTTCCTTCCAACCAACAGACAGACTTCACTAGGATGTACTAGTCAATTTTGCATCATGATGACAAATACCTGAGCTAGTCAACTTGTCTGTGGAAAGGGTTATTTCTGTTCCCTTTCTTGGAGGTTCCATATCATGCCTTGCTAGCCTTATAGCTTCAGGCCAGTGGTAAGGCAATGCCTCTATACAGGAGTGCACAGAAGAGCAAAGCCATTTATTTTACCACCATTAGTGAAGAATATGAAGATGAACATGAGGTCCAAAGACCCCATTTAAGGGAACACCTAAAAAAATCCAAAGACCCTCAACTAGCCTGTATCCATTAAAGGTATGAGGCCACATATTCAACACCCAAGCCTTTGAGCAATGTTCAAGGTCCAGAGAATAGCAAGGACTTACTATCACAAGCCTCAGTTTCCTTGTGTACAAAATGCATGTTTACTCCATAGCATTCCAAAGATAACTTTAGCACATGGGGTAAAATTTATTTCCCCCTACTCTAAGTGAGTGATCATGTGTAACTTATATCATGTGCTCCCTTTCATATTTGTGGAGAATCTAATAGATAGCCCTGAAAGCGAAATGGGACATAGCTTCGAGATGATGCTCATGGCCATTTTACCCAATTCAGCTTGAACATAAAGATGGTGGTAAAATGAAACTTGAGCCCTGACATAGAAGAACATAAGTGTAATGATACTAGAACTCTATAAGATATGGATCTAAAGTTATCATAAAATATTGGGTGATATCTAGTTTTTAGCTTTTCAAAATATTTATAACCAATAGATGCACAAAACTGTATAAGATCTGAATTTGTAAAGAATCCAGATCATGTCACCAGAGCTCAGAATAAAAGAACTGAGCACAGACAGTAAGCACAGTGACCACTCATTTCAAAAAGCTTTCCATCCAGAATATAGACCTATCTCATCTAGGTCTCATAGTAACTCCATGTGGTAGAGACTTGTAGCAAGAATTTCTCTAGTCCTGCCTTACCCAGCAGTCTTGACGAATCTCTCTCACCTGCAGGTCCCATAGTCACTTATAAAATAATTACTCAGAGGTTATATTAATTACAAACTGTATGCCTATGGTTTCAGCTTCTTGCTAGCTAGCTCTTTCATCTTAAATTAACCCAGTCCTATTAATATATATGTTGCCGCGTGGCAGTGGCATTGCCAGTCTGCTGGCATCTTGCTGCTTCTTGAGCGGCGACTGGCGTCTCTCCCCTACTCTCCTTTCTTCTTCTGGTCTCTGTCTTGGATTTCCTGCCTGGCTATAACCTGACTTGCCATAGGCCAGAGCAACTTCTTTATTAACCAATCATAGCAACATATATTCACAGCATCAGAAAGACATCCCACAGCACTTCCCTTTTTCTGTCTAATCAAAAGGAAAGGTTTTAACTTTAACAAAGTATAATTATCAAGCAAGAATTACAGTTATAATATTTAGTCTATTTGTTTTTGGCAAAATTAAAGAAAATACTCTATCATCCATCCTATGTTTGTGAGTTTAAAGTTTTACATCTAGTTTATCTTTTATCATGACTAAGGAAAACTATAATTATAATTATTTAGTCTTCAACTACATCAAAGACCCCAGAAGGATATAATATTACCTAAGTAAACAGGAAGTGCATTGTAAGCAGCTTCCAAAAATCTAGAATGACAGAGACATCTGGCTGCTGGACAGTCACTCAAAGTTCCTCTGTAATAGTGGGGCATCCATCTTTAGCCTATAGGCCTAGAATTTCTCAGTTGCTTCTCCCTATGTTCTGTAGAATGTCTGGTAGTCTCCTCTGTAAAGCAGGAACCTGAATAACCATCTCACCTTGTTTTGGCAGAATTCAGTGGTCATTTTCCTATTGGTCCTGCATGTTCAGTTTATACAACATCCTGTCAAGAGTCCAGGCAAGGGCACGTTTTTTGCCCAGTGGTTAACTTTTGCCACAAAGAAAGCAAACTCTATACCGAGTTCCTTCAATGCCCATCATCCTCTTTGAAGTAATTGGTGCTGCCAGGAGCAGATGAGTCTCATTTTCCAGAAAAGCGTAAGTTCTTAAACCATGTTAAATGCCATATTCTTTAGGTCTTTGAAGTGTTTGAAGATTACCTACCTAATCAAAATATATCTTTGTATATCTAAAACAAAGTAACTAACATGACTATAAATTTGACTATCATAGAAGACTAATTATTAATCTGTATTTCTTATTATACATTACAATTTAATTGAGTTGCATAAACATAATTCCTTAAAAAAGAGTAGAAACATATATACAGTATAACAAAATTAACTTTAAATTTGTATCAATAAACTAAAATCCATAGCAATGTAAACATTTCAAACAAGTTGTTGCTCTTTAAAAGCAGATTTAGTAATCTACCCTTTTTATCCTATCATATCTATATTATCCCCTTTTCTTCTTTAGAAAGAGATTACATTTATAATCAATCCCCTTTAAATAAAAATAAACCTTTATAAACAATATTTTGGGAATATGGGCATAGCTTCTCATACTTCTTCCTGCTGATTGGGGGCACTGGCAATCTTATGGGGATCCTGATAAGTATATAGTTATTGTACTTATTGTATATAGTTTTTCTTATTACTTTAAATGCTTGAAAATTTGTGAATAGCACTATGGATAAAATTGGGGGAAATCATACTTTATCACAAGAAAAAATATTTTATTATTTTAGACAAAAAGGAGGAAATATGGTGACATATTGTGTACCCCAATATATTATGTACCCTAATAAACTTGTCTGAGAATCAGAGGACAGATCCATCCACCAGATTAGACACAGAAGCCAAACAGTGGTGGCACACACCTTTAATCCTATCACTTGGGAGGCAGAGATCCATCTGGATCTCTGTGAGTTCAAGGCCACATTGGGAACAGAGCCAGGTGTGGTGGCACACACCTTTAATCCCAGCACTTGAGATCTCATGTTTTTGCTTGAGAAGCACAGACACCTTTTATCCCAGAAAGTGTCATGATTAGGTGGAGAATGGTATATAAGGCCTGAGGAGACAGGAACTGAGCAGGCAGTTCATTTGATTCTCTCAGGGGTGAGGACTCAGAGGCTTTCATTCTGAGAATTTGTGGAAACAGAATTGGCTGAGGAGGTGGTGAGGTGAGGTTGGCTGTGGCTGATTCTGTTTCTCTAATCTTTCAGCTTTCACCCCAATATCTGGCTCTAGGTTTTTTTTCTGTGAATAAGACCTTTTAAGATTCATGTTACATCACC